CATCAAGGAAAAGCTGCCTGCCAAGCTCAAGCCAACAAAATGAAACTCCACTGCCTCTCCRTGTGGAAAATCCCAATTTCTGTTTCCTGTGACTCATCTTCAAAACCAAAACCTCCAGTGCAAAATCAAATGACAGAAAGTAGAGGGAAATTATTACTGGAACTGCAAAATGTCATTTCCACACAGGATGATACACCAACAGCCAAGCCTGAGCCACCAAGGCAGAGAAAGTATTTCAAAAAACTCMAAAAAACATAAAACAGGTCTCCATACTTTATACAGGAACCAGCACCCTGCCAGGGCAGCGGCCATCACCCAAGAAGATACCAAAATTATTTTTTATCRAAAGGCAAGCCCAAGCCACTGATCAAACTGTCAAAGTATTTWAAAAAAACCAAACTCTAAGCCAGAAGAGAAGCTCCATGGGCAAGAGCTGCCCGAGAGCCAGGGCCTTCAGAAGGACAGTCTGGAATTGATGCCAGCCACAGGGTCACAAAAAGCACCCCTGTGAAAAGGGATGCTTTCCCACACTAGTTTTAGTCCTCTTCTCTTGACTGTTACTTTCCCTAGAATTTGAGTAAATAGAAAAAAAAAACCCACAAAACACCAAAATAAAACTGAAGTATTTACTTCACTGAGAAAATTAATTTGCATGTCTTCAATTACAGAGTGAAAAATCATTGTCAAGCAACCTTCCTTTTTCACTGCTCCAGGGATGTTATACAGCACAGGGCAGGACAAAGACCTCAGCCACCACGGCCTCTTCTGGCAAAAAGAGAGTAAAATCTCCCTGAGTGTATTCACTGTGTTTGTACAGAAAGAARCTGCCCATTTTTAGTCAACAGCATTATGGATAATATTTACAGAGAYAAAAATACAGCCCACAGTCTAGCACAGGTCATTTTTCCATTCTGCAGTTTTTCTGACAAAGTAAAACACTGAAAACTTTAGATTAAAACAAAATAATTACATTTTAGAACAGCCTTAAATGACAAGTCTATTAAAACCAGCCCTCCTTTTGTCTCTAATGCCTAAATTTTAAATGGTTTTACAACCATGACCATTTACATAAACAAAGGGGAGAAAAATAAAAACACATGTGAATGATAAACACTGTAAGAAAAACACTTCTCCACTCTTTTCTGTAGATCTGGCCCCAAACATAAAACAAGAGGGAAACAATGACAATTCCCAATAAAACTTCCATCTGCCAGTCATGTTTGGTTTGGAAGTCAACCAGATTCCCTATTCAATGGGTTTCCCAAACAAAAACTCTCCATTGATATAATTATCCATCAGAGACATTAGAGCGTGCTTTCAGCCAGCAGTGGAACATTTTTTCAGTATTAACTTTTAACACTACAAGTTTTTTAAAAGCATCATTTTCCTACACTTATTTAAAAATTCCAAYATGTACAAAATCAGTGGCATTTGCCATTCAAGAGAGGTTCCTTCTGTTGCTGATCAGGTCCAGGTTTCACTCAGTGCAAACTGAATTTGTGCCTCACAGTCCAGGTCAAACAATTATATTAAGGTTTGTTTGCTTCCAGCAAGTATAAATTCCTTTTTAAAAGTCTTCTATGTGCCTCCTAGAAATGGCAAGCAAAACTCTGAATAGGTATTAGAATATTCTAGAAAATGTTCAAATGTGTTTCTCCCATCATCCACCAGGTATATTCAGATTAAAAAAAAACAAAAAACAAAACAAAA